GTGTGTGTGTGTGTGATCAGCAGAGATACTAACCATTCCTCTGTGCGCGCTCCTGCTGTCTCTCAGAACGCGCGGGTGACGTCAGGGGAATAATAAGCGCATGTTACATTAAAAATATGCGAAAACTGTCCGCATTTCAAAAAACGCATTAATACAAAAAGATATTCATTAGTTCTTCTTATATAGTCTTTTAATTACGATGCTCCGTAGGGTATTTCACAATGTGTATTTCTCTGATTTGCTGTTGTAGAAAAAATAAACACATTACGCACATTAATTTAATGACTATATATATATTTTTTATTTATTTATTTATTTATTTGTTTTTTTTGCATAAACGTATAATACACCAATAAAAACACTGGGTCTGATACACGCGCAGAAGTCTCGTATCTATAGAGATGTAATGAGAAGCCGCGGACGTGGTTCAGCTTCAGTGCCGCCCTACGGCTGTTATTATTGTTATTGTTGTTATTATTATTGTTGTTGTGGCTGCTGGATGTGATGCTGCTGCCCTCTGTGTGCGGATCCCATGAAATCGCGTTCATTAGCACAGACATGGCGTTCCGACGGTCATCGCGTCTGTTCAACTGAAGCTTTATGATTCCGCTCGAGTTTGGGAAGAAAAACGCTGCAAGATGTCGCAGAAGATGCTGGGCTCCGTGGTGGGGCTCCTCTGCACAGGGGCGTGTTTGGTTGAGGTAAGCCGGCGGCGCGGCCTCTGAGGCGGCGAGCGCTGAACTCGAGCTCCGGGATCGGCGCGGCGCTAGGCCTCGATAAACAACTCAAATAAAGCCATTAAACCAGCATCGTGTAGCAATGGTTAAAAAGGCCGTATGTCCTTTCGTACTGAATATTTAATTTATAAAATCTGTATAAATATTTTACATTTTAAAATCACAGACATTCAGGAGATGAATAGATTCTAGACAAAACAATTGTGCTTATTACTGGTGGTTTGTACCTCAGTGTTTGTGTTTGTGGGGTTTCTGGAGTGTTTTAGTGAGTCTGTGGTGTGTTGTGTGTTTGTAAGGTTAGGTTTGACTCCTACTGACTGTTTTTAAAGGTTATTATGTAGATAAATGATCCAGCGCGTATCATAGTTCACTGGCAGATAAAGACTCACCTGTACAGCATTTTTACGGTTTATTTACAGTGTTATATTTGAGGGCTCACTTTAATTAACCATGGTTTTACTACAGATAAAACTAAAAAACCATGGTTACTATAGTTAAATCATGGTAACCACAAATTAACCATGGTCTTATTACACTAACCATAGTTTAACCATGGTATTTGTAGTAAAACTGTGGTGCTACAAATGGTAATAAATGTGCCAAAAAACATGGTTACTACACTTTTACTATAATAAAACCATGGTTAATTTTCGTAAGGGATATTATATGTAATGGTTCATATTTATTGACTGATTGAGTTCAGCTTTACTTGCATTATTTTGCCCCGATAGTTCCAGGCTAATATGTGAATTTTGGCACAGAAATCAGATTTTGACTTCAGATGATGAATTTGTCTTTGTGCTGGTGATGGAGTCACTCTTTCTCTGAGTGTTTACTGTCAGACACAAACGCTGATGTAAAGCCTGGAGTGCGCTCGATGAAGAGCTCAGGTCTGTGCTGTTGTCTTTCACTCAATGCTGTGTTTGTTTGACAGGGGAAGGAGTTTTGTTTCGGTGTGAACAATGAACAGTACCGCTGTGAGATGGGCTACTGCTGCGGAGAGACCGAGTGCTGCACCTACTATTACGAGCTCTGGTGTAAGTACACACACACACACACACACACACACACACACACAACAGTACAGTGCTAATGAAGTGTTTGGTCCACCAGTCCGTAAAAAGAGCATGTTCAGCTCAAATATCGACTCAAAATCAAAAGGAATAAATGGAAATTTATAGTTTGCCCAAAGAAAATGAAGCTTGTTTTAGGAACATTTAGATTTTTCTGCGTTGTGACATCTGTATGAAAACATCATTGCTGTAAATACAAGGGATGCACTGAAATGAAAATTCCTGGCCGAAGATTCTTTAGAACATTCTGCAGTTCTGCAGCTGTGGTCCTCAGAGAGTCTTTAGCCGCTCAAACTCTCCTCCTCACCGTGCATTAGGATGATATAGACACACGTCCTCTTCCAGACAGATTCATACATCTTCTGCTGATTGGAAATTCTTAATTATTGACCTGATGGTGGAAATGGGGATTTTCACTGCTCTAGCTCTTTTCTTAAAGTCACTTCACTAATTTGTGAAGCTCAATTATCTTGTGCTGCACATCAGAAATATATTCTTTGGTTTTCCTCATTGTGATTATGATTAAGGGAATTTGGGCTTTGTTTTCCCTCCTATATATATTCCTGTGAAACAGGAAGCCACGGCTGGATAATTTCATGTTCATAATCACCCTGGAGTGCTCAAAATTGTGAATATGAATGGGAATATACTTCAGAGATATTTTACTCATAAGAATTTCTAGGGGTGCCAATAATTGTGTCCAACGTGTATTTGAGAAAAACATTTATTTCATAATGATATTTCCCCCATTTTAAATTCTTATTATCCAATGAAAGGTTAGATTTTTGTGATTTTAAAAAAAAATAAAAGATCAAAAGTATTAACAATGCAGATTAATTTTCACAGCCGCCTTTGATCATATTTTTATTATCCAATGAAAGGTTAGATTTTTGTGATTTTAAAAAAAAATAAAAGATCAAAAGTATTAACAATGCAGATTAATTTTCACAGCCTTCTTTGATCATATTTACCAAGGGTGCCGATATTTTTGGCCATGACTGTATACCTTGCTACACTGCGTTAGGCTAACCGAGACTTGACATTTGCACTTATATATTGTTGCTCTTTTGTTAGTTTTGTCTGCTTTTATTGTCCTCATTTGTAAGTCGCTTTGGATAAAAGCATCTGCTAAATGACTAAATGTAAATGCTTCCACACTGTGGCATGCCTGCTGCATTAGTGCGTGCCTCTATTTGATCGCGTCACGTCATTGTTCGGTACAATTTATTTGTCTTTTGGCTTACTCGAATTTGGCTTAGCCGAATACTTTTGGCTGCTGAACATTCGGTGCATCCCTAGTAAATACTGAAACACATTTGAGCTGAAATGGATTAATCAACAATTTATTAATTTAATCAGTTACCTGTATTAATCATTAAAGTCGTGTGACACTGGAAGTGATTCGCTGCGATAGCACATGACTGATCCCCAGAGTGTAAACAGGACTGAGGATGATGATGGTGGTGTGTCTGCAGGGTTCTGGCTGGTCTGGAGCCTCATCATCATGCTGAGCTGCTGCTGTGCATACAGACACCGGCGAGTGAAGATGCGTCTGCAGCAGGAACAGAGACAGCGGGAGATCAGTCTGATGGCGTATCAGGGAGCCTCCAGCTCCTTCATCACTCCTCCTCCTCCTCCTCTCAACCTGCGTGAGTACTGCCTCCACACTAGGGCTCTGCCATATTGACAGAAAATATCTCAATTATCTGGGATTTCATCGATAACGATAATTAGACGATATTTTGCTGAGTGTGTTATTGTGCTGGTATCTTAAACTGACTCCTAAAGTTTTTGATATTCATATTTTTCTGATTTCATACGTTTCTGATAAGTTTAAATAGATTTTTACCTTTTATGGGCATTTTTACCTTTTATAAAGCCTTTTTTTCTAGAAGTGTGCTTCATCTTTTGAGTCGAATTCTTACATTTAATCAGTGAATTAGAATAAAAGACATTTGGGCTGTTACCAAACAAATGATATCAGTATCAAAATTCATCTTTGCAATGCAGAGGAAACTTTTCTAAAAGTGTGCATTATCTTTTGAGTCAAATTCTTACGTGTAATCAGTGAATTAGAATTATAAGACATTTGGGCTGTTACCAAGCAAATGAAATCAGTATCAACAAAATTCATCTTCGCCATACAGAGGAAACACAAGCGGCACCTGAAGTGGCATTTAGATGAGGAATATTTGACGACGGGCCGTTGAATTGTTAGAAAATAATGCACAGGGTGTGGACCGAAGTTACTACGGTTACTAGGGCTGGGTTTTGACACCAATTTCATGATTCGATTCGATTCAATATCGATTATTTTGTATATATATCCAATAAAAATCTCTCAACTAATGCTGTAAAATATACACGAGAGTCAGTTGGTACTACATTATTATAATATTGAAGGTTAAAATGAATGAAGTTTTTACAATAATAAAGTTACAGTTACATATTAATATTTCTACTTCAATTCGTTTTTCAATTCTACGTCTGCGTCTGTTGAACTGAGGCGCTACAGCGATCTGTCACTCCACATTAAACGGCGCCAAAACGGCATTAATTGTTTGAATATTGCAATACAATGGACAGAATTTGAAATTTGAGACTTTGTTTCATATTAAAAGTACCAAAGCACAATGCTTATTGCGATTTATTGGATGGGAAGTGCCCTTCAATGTTCCGTCCATTAACTGAAAACAGGCTAGACTAATCGATTCTTGGGATTTAGGAATCGATATCGTTCCGTAAAAATGAGAATCGATTAATATCGAGATATCATCAATATTTTTTACCCAGCCCTAACGGTTACCACACCTCAAGACATCGATCAGATGAGATATTTCAAGTCATTTGTCTGGTTTTTCTACTTAAAACACTATTGTGAGTAGGATTGTTTCTTCCACATCTCATCGAATGCTCCATTGCTAATTCCCAAACATCATTTTAGACCTAGTAACGAGGCTTGAGCCGTTGCAGACAAATGCAGTTAATCACTACAGTTACAGTAATGCAGTTAATTATTAGATTATTAGGGAGAGATGACCTCTCTGAGTCTGAATCTAAGTTCACTTTCCTCAAGAACCGTGCCTCGCTTGTGAGGAATGTCATGTAGTCTTTAAGCTGCTATTTTACTGATAAAATCGTCAGAGTATCTCTAACAACATTAGCACGTAGCCTATGTTTCTGTGTGTCTCTGTGAGGGAGAGCGAGCGGGATAAATAGAGTGCTTTCTGTACATAATAAAACATCAGTTTGTGGCAGAAAGATGGAAATAATCGATCTTTTTCATCCTGTTGTTAGCTGTGTATTTATTTGCTTGGTCAGTGTCGTTGTGGGGTTTGGTTCTTTTGCTGTTTTTGGCTGTAAGGACCTTTGAAATAACTCAAATCATTTGGGAAGTGATATGGTCATGTAATGCGGTCAAAAGCTGCCTGGAACTACGTTCACCGTGCGTTTCCCTGAAAATAACTGCACACCTTAGAACGCTCATCAGCCAATCAGATTCAAGCGTTCAACGGCGCCGTAGTATAAATGTATTTATTTTACACGCTACTGTTTAGTGCCGAACATGAATGCATTTAACCTGCAGTTTCAAATGCATAATGTTTTGATATATTAATAAAACATTGAAAACTGATATTTGAAATTATTTAAATAATAAAAAGATACTATAAATGTGAAATTAAAACCACCAGCAGGTGGCAGCAAGTCACAAACAGGCATATGGTGTCTAAAACATAAGTCTCTTAATTAACTTGTTTATTGAACTGTTGTAAAAAAATCGATATCACATTTGTAATCATGGTAATTTTTGGAGAAAATAATGGCACTCTTTGTTTGATATTGATTAGCTATATGAAATTATATAAATATATACATTTTCTGCCCCCATATCTTGAATTTTGTGATCATTCTGAATGTATTTTAATAGACTGAATCATGCAGTGAAAGAACACGCTCTAAATGCACACTCGCTCTAGTCTAGGCTTCATGTAATGTATGTGTGCGCTCTGTAGGGGTGTTTTGAACGGTTTTTGCAAAATACTCGATAATGTCAAATTGCACATCGTTAAAACAACAATTACGATATTATCACAGATGATATATATCGCCATCACTGACGCTCGACCTGTCAGCGGCTCGTCTCTGATGCCAGTCTCTGCACTTTATTCTCTTTATTCTCTTCCCACCAAACAACTGACCAGTGAGCTGGACTAGTTTCTGATGTTTCAGTGCTGGTTAGAGGACTAGTGTAGGCGTGACCTCGGCATCGTGGCCAGATCTGCCCATCATCATGGCCTCCTAATCATCTCCAGGTTCTGCCTGGCTTCATCACGGTCTCCTCTCCAGCAGTAAGCTGGTGTATGCTGGGTGTTCTGGTGCAGTATGGCTGCCGTCGCTTCATCCAGGAGGTGGTTGAGCGCTATATAAATGTAAGCAATTACTATTATTAGAAATGATCAGAAAATACAGTAAATGTTGGCGCCGTGTCACTTGATATGAAGGACTCGTTCACCCACAAATTAAAAGTGTTGGTGCTTGAGGCATTTTAATAAACTCGGGGAAAATACGTCATCTTCTCGTCTCCTGTGCATTATTAGCACCACACAGTTTTCCTCTCTGGGCTGTTGAACATTTCAGCTCGGTGTTAAACGAGGGAATAGGAACGGTTCTATAGGAACTATCAGTGACGTAAGTGTACGCTGATTGGCCAAACGTTTACGAAACAGACCACCTGGCATTTTTAAAAAGCCATGTAATCATATTTACTCCATGAACATGGAAAGCAGCGATAATAAGGGCATTTACCTGTTGTTCTTTTCTCAGCCTCGATGATATGTAACACTGCAAGTTGTTGTAGTAGATTTTGTCTCTTAGCCCAACTTTTTGCTCTCTTAATCGCGCAAATTGTGTTTATATTCCATCTCCGTTATCATGAAACCCACACACAACAAAAACCCCTCCGATCACTGGTTTTCGACATCAACCGAGGGAGAACCTGGTTCTCTAGGAATGACCCTGCTGGCTAGTTCTCTTATGGTAACACTTTAGGGACTAATTCTCACTATTAACTAGTTGCTTATTTGCATGCATATTACTAGCATATTGGCTGTTTATTATTATTATAGCTTACTTAATCCTCTTCATCCCATGAGAGACATAAGGCTGCATTATTATTATAAAGCACATATTAATGCGTTATTCTGCATGACCATATTTCAGATCCCTTAATCCAAACCCGGACCTAAACTTAACTACCTTAATAACTCTTAATAAGCAGCAAATCAGGAGTTTGAGGGGAAACTCTAAGTTAATAGTTAACAGTGAGAATTGGTCCCCAAACTAAAGTGTGACCTCATTTCTCATCTCTATGCTGTTTGCTCCTCCATGACACAAAGGAGATGTCCTCCGCTAAATATAATGCAACATTAACTTTAGTCCATATGACTCCAAAGCTGCCATTATTCACTGAACACAGACGTGAATGATGTTTGACAGTCGTATGACGTCAGAGGAGTCATGTGACGGGCCTTTATGGTGCTTTAATGTTTTTGTTTGAGCTTGTCATTCAGAAGAGCCTGATCGTATTCAGTGTAGTCCATCAGTCCTCCTTAAGACTGCATTCATTGCAGCTGGTCAGTCAGTCGTCTGGTTTGTGTGGAGCTCTGACCGTGTGTGTGCATCACCTACAGGCTTCTGGACGGACTGTAAGCTGCCCGACTACGAGGAGGTGATGGCTCACCCGCCCACGCCTCCTCCACCCTACTCTCCAGAGCAGGAGCTGGAGACACAGCAGGAGCGCGAGGAGCCCAGCAGCCGGCGCAGACACGTGACCGGAGACTCCGGCATCGAGGTGTGTGTGTGCCAGCTGGACGAGTGCTCGGGGCCCGAGGAGGAGGCTCTGTGTCAGGGGCCCGGCGGGTGTGATCAGGAGTGAGGAGTCTGGGAGAGACTGTCTTCTGAGCAGCGTAATGCCTCGAGTGCGTCTCTGACTGCATCCCTCTCACACACTGAACCAATCATACACACCACGGTTTGATTCTCACAGCTGCCCCGAGACCTCAGCCCAGAGACAGACACACACACACACACAGTTTGTGTTGTTTGTGCTGATAGAGCAGATAAACACACCAGTCAGCTGATCGTCTCGTCTCATCGTGGCCTTTACCTTTTTCACTCGGCTGCTGTAAACAAGCGTGCCGTCCCGTGAGTGTGTGAGTGTCAGTGAGTGAGTGTGTGTGTGTGTGTGTGTGTGTGTGTATGTGTAGTCACATGACTCACCTCTATGATTAGTGTTCATTAGTGAAGCTCAGATGTGTGTTATAGAGGCTGATAGCCTCTGATCAGACTGACGTCTACTGCATTAAGGGCTAAAATCAAGATCAGAATGTTTCCGGTTGGTTTTCTGGAGTCCGTCGTGTTTGTTTTTTCACGCGTCTCTGTTGCACTGAAGGACGGCGTCGTCCTCGAAATTCTTCGACTCCAGCCCAATTCCCACAACGTTTACAGACTCTGTGCCTTTCCCAGTGGAGATCCAGACTAACTAACTAGGCTATGCAAAAACCCAGGACTCTCTGTTGTGAGCTGCAGTAACGAGCAATACTCGACTCCGTCCCTGTGTCTTCACCGGACACTCACTACTGTGTTCGAGTGAGAGTCGTGATGTTTTTTTGTCTGAGTTTGTCTTCTAACTCGGTTTGTTTTGGATCATTAGTGTTTTCTGGCGTCACGATGATTGCAGACGTTGTTTTGAGCACCGCCGGTCGCGTTACTCTGGTGCTCTGAAATATGAAACCTTTGACATCGAGCAGCTCCAAGTCTGTTGTCAAATGTGTGATTAATAAAAGAGACGTTTAATATCGAGCCAAATCACAGCGCAAACCAGTTCTTCTGTAAGCACATCGAGCTTTTACTTCATTCTCATTCATAACAGTAGTGTCCCGTATTTACTTGACTCTTCTGACGGTCCGTGAGCGTTTCTGATCGCAGCTAGTGATGATGATGATGATGATGACGATGATCCAGCACTGAGCTGTGTGGTGTTTCTACGGTCGCTTCTTCAGCAAGACGTCTGCTGTGTCTCTATAGTCATTTGTATTTTATTTTTGTAATAAAATAATAAACCAGCTTTGGCACTGATCTGTTTGTCTGTGTTTCTGATGTTCATCTGCTCGTGTCATTATGTTTGCCCTAGACAATGTACTGGTTATGTTTGGATGATGACTATTATTATTATTATTATTAATACGTTTTCATCCGCACCCCAGCAAACCTGTGGGAATAAACCTAGAGCTCACTTACAGAACTCCTGCTGTGTAAAGACTGATAATCACTTGTTCTCTTCGTTCGTGGCATCAAATGCAGTTTTATGATAATTGGTCTACAATTAAAATATATTTTTAAGGGCATAAACCTGGAATAAAACAATTTTCAGTTGCGTTGATATTCAAAACCTTTGAGAGCTAATACTAGTGTATTTGTACTCCGCTGATTGAGTCATAAGTTAAAATGCTGCACACAATACGTGTCCCTGCAGCACAAAAGCAGTCTTAAGTCGCTGGGGTATATTTGTAGCAATAGCCAACAATACATTGTATGGGTCACAATTATAAATTTTTCTTTTATGCCAAAAATCATTAGGATATTAAGTAAAGATCATGTTCCATGAAGATATTTTGTACATTTCCTACCGTAAATATATCAAAACTTAATTTTTGATTAGTAATATGCATTGCTAAGAACTTAATTTGGACAACTTTAAAGATGATTTTCTCAATATTTAGATTTTTTTGCACCCTCAGATTCCAGATTTTCAAATATTGTCCTATCCTAACAAACCATACATCAATGGAAAGCTTATTTATTCAGCTTTCAGATGATGCATACATCTCAATTAAAAATGGACCCTTATGACTGGTTTTGTCACAAATGTGATAGATGTCAGGAGATCTGATTGGTGCATTGTTTAGCAGCATAAATGTGTAAAGATGGAAGAAATGGCCAGTGGGGGGCGCTGTCATGTTATGAATGCATATTAATAGCTGTACTCCTCTTATTTTTAAAGGCGCTGTATGTAATATTTTGCCTGTACTAAAGCATAAAAATACCATACTGCATTCGCAGATAGAAAACATGCTAAGTTCATATACTTGTCTCTGAAAAACAATGATATAGTCAGTTATTGTATTTTGAAGTGTGCGTGCTGCATCGAAATGTCAGTTTTGTTGTTCAGTGTGACTCCGCCCACTGCCAGTTCATCCAATAGTATTTTGACACTCCGGGTTGCCAGTTTGCAGATAAAACAGTTTATTGCTGCTGTGGAAGGCAGCAAACGTACTGCGTCAGAGATTTAAAGGGGTCATATGACATTGCTAAAAATAACATTATTTTGTGTATTTGGTGTAATGAAATGTGTTTATGCAGGTGATTTTCTCAATATTTAGATTTTTTTGCACCCTCAGATTTGATTTTCAAATAGTTGTATCTCAGCCAAATATTGTCCTATCCTAACAAACCATACATCAATGGAAAGCTTATTTATTGGTGTTGTAAAAATCCCAATTTCAGAAAACTGCCCCTTATCACTGGTTTTGTGCTCCAGGGTCACATATAAATGAACTCATCACGTAGTGTGTAAGGCTGGATGCCCTCCATTGTGTTTGCGCTCGCTGCTGTTGTGTGCTCAATCTGGCAACCTGCGAGAGACTGCAGCACCCAGTTCAGCCTTGAATGTGTGGCTCCTAGTTACCTTAACTGAACACAAACTCTCCGTTACGCTGTTTAATGCTAACTGTTTGTTCTTTGTAGTGGTGGCGAGATGTGATGAAAAGTGTTAGATCTGTGCAGGCTTTGAATGCTCGCTAGAGACTCCTGCTGGTGGATCCGAGTCTGTCAATAGACCAGAACTGCAGAAATATAGAATAATTACCAGAGCTGGGTATAACTGATTACGTGTAATTTAGATTACATAATCAGATTGTATTGTAACTAGATTAAATTACATTTTAAAATACTCGTAATTAGACTACAGTTACTTTTTTATGGATTAGCCTACATATTATTATAATAGCAATAACTTTCATAATTTATTGATTCTCTCTAATTCTTCTTTTTTTTTTCCTTTAAATTTTCCTTTCTAAACTAGCCTACCACTTATATACACCCAGAGTCTTCCAGTTTCGTGGACATTAACACAAAGATCGGTCATTAGTCAAAATATCTCATTATTTCAGTAAGTGTTTTATTTTGATTCATTTTAAAATATTTGTTTTACTTGAACATTTTTATGATTAATTATTAGCTTTTCATTAAACTCATAAACCCCCTGCAGTTCCTTCACAAACCCAGTTTGGGAAACTAGACGTTATATAATGTTTAATGCACTTAATGTTGTTGATTAATGAATATATTTTCTTCCTCTTTGTATTTTTATATCAGTGTGGTACAAGATCATCCTATTTAAATCAATGTGATAGTCAAGAGTAATCTAAAAGTAGTCTGATTATGTTATCTAAAATATGTAATGTCATGGATTTCATTACTAACTACAATTTTTGTCATGTAATTAGGAATCAGTAACGGATAATCTACCCAGCTCTGATAATAAACCAGCAGAGGCCGGGGGCAGAAAAGGATTAGACTAGTCTTACAAGTTAGTCATCTATTTTTTTTAGTTACTTAAAAGTGTAGATTAGTCTCCACACGTCTAACGCTCCTAGAAATGAAGTGAACATGACTTGCAGTCTGTTCTGTCAGATCCACAGACACCTGAAGAAAAGCTCAGCATCAGATCTCACTCATAACCTGTAGAGAGTAAAGGCAACAACACTTTAATCTCGATTCCATAAGATCTTTACATGTCCCATCGGAGTCGAGACAGATGAAGATGGTACACATTCTGTACAATACATAAATAATAAAGAATAAATATGGTGTGTGTTGTGAGAACAAAGGCAGCAGAAGCAGAGGATGCTGGGAGAGTCCAGATCTGTCGCTCAGATCTCCAGCGCATCACAGCGAGCACACGGAGCAGAAACTCCAGACAGGAAGTCAGTAGAAGCACTTCCTCCTGCTTTCACTCCAGTGTCTGTACAGAACGAGCCCCACCAGCAGCAGAAACACCCCCAGCATTGAGACGAGCACACACACACACACACTCTCTCTCACACACACTCGCTCTCTCTCACTCACACACACACACACACACACTCTCTCTCGCACACACACACACACACACACACAGACACACTCTCACACACACTCTCTCTCTCACTCACACACACACTCTCTCTCACACACACTCGCTCTCTCTCACTCACACACACACACACACACACTCTCTCTCGCACACACACACACACACACACACAGACACACTCTCACACACACTCTCTCTCTCACTCACACACACACTCTCTCTCACACACACTCGCTCTCTCTCACTCACACACACACACACACACACTCTCTCTCGCACACACACACACACACACACACAGACACACTCTCACACACACTCTCTCTCTCACTCACACACACACTCTCTCTCACACACACTCGCTCTCTCTCACTCACACACACACACACACACACTCTCTCTCGCACACACACACACACACACACACAGACACACTCTCACACACACTCTCTCTCTCACTCACACACACACTCTCTCTCACACACACTCGCTCTCTCTCACTCACACACACACACACACACACTCTCTCTCGCACACACACACACACACACACACAGACACACTCTCACACACACTCTCTCTCTCACTCACACACACACTCTCTCTCACACACACTCGCTCTCTCTCACTCACACACACACACACACACACTCTCTCTCTCTCTCTCTCTCACACACACACACACACTCTCTCTCTCTCTCACACACACTCTCTCTCTCTCTCACTCACACACACACACACACACACGCACACTGCTTACGCACAATGTAATGCAGCAGCTAAACACATAACATTAAACACGCAAACTGCTTTCATTCCTGTGTCAGACTGATGATGTTAGTGATATATGCATAATTATGATGATGAGAAGAGCTGAGTGAGATGAATGATGAACTGATCGTGCATTTGTCTCTTACAGTGAATACTCTCTCTTTAAAAACTCTTCCATTTCACGACCGTCATAACATAAACTAACACTGCAAGCTGCAAATAAAATCAACGATGATTCAGAGATCATGATTTAATTCAAAGCTTTTCAAACGCGTCCACTGAATTCACGCTCGCGGCCATCTGTCGGTCAATGCTGCCACCCGATTGGCTGCCGCTGTTACACGGCGCGCCTTTACTGGCTCTCTCACCTGTCAATCAAACATCAGCCCTCCCACACATCAGCAACCGGACCGAAGATGTGTGATCATTCAAGATTTGCGATTTGCTAAAACAGCAGCGAAACATTTCAAGTGAGTAGTTACTCTCCACATTTAATAACCTTTATAGACCGCGGATTTTTTTTTAAAATTAATTTTATATCATTATTTTTTTTGATGTGCACCCTATACATTAGAAAATTTGCGAGGATGAGCAAACCTAATCTACAATATAGCAATTCATTACTAATGTGTTTGTATTATTATTATTATTATTATTATTATTATTATTATTATTATTATAGTAGTGTCGCCTTACTTCCGGAGTATTTTACGTAAGAACCGATTTAGGGACTATCTTAAAACCACGCTGATAAAAGTCACGAGGAAACGGACACCAGCACCATTCGGTCATACTATATTATCAGTTATCTTTAGACAGTGAAGGAAAGCGGTTGTTTTATCAAACTCACAATTTATTACAAGTTATTATCAAGTGACTTAGGCTTGTTTTACTGATGAATCTGATATCAGTAGAATGTGGACTGTACAATTCAATTCATTTGTACAGCGCTTTTCACGATACAAATCATTGCAAAGCAACTTTACAGCAAATTAAGTTTCTACAGTATTTAGTACACTTTCACTTACACTGTACACTTTCACACATCATTTTGGTTTTAAGCCCCCGTGTGGTTAACAGAAATAGTAAATGAACTTTTGAGCTCCAGTAGGGATGCACCGATACCACTTTTTCCAGTACTCGCCCGATACCGATACTTTTATTTTTGGTACTTGTCGATACCGAGTACCGATACCGATATTTTTATTTTACAGAATTTAAATAAAAATTTATTTTTATTTTACAGAAACCAAAAGGGTATGTATAATGTTAGTTGGTTAACTTCATTTATCAAATAGATAGTCAAACCAAAATTTATTCAGACACCTTCAACATTTCTCACATTATATTCACTATAGTTTAGAAAATGGTAATAAAATATGACAAGAACTCAGAGTTAAACTGTGTCAGAACAAATTCATCTTGATAATGTTAGATAACTTTAATAGAAAGGTATGTAATGGATTACAATCAACCAAATATTAGACAGCTGTTAGTATGACAGTATTTACACAACTGCATTTTAACGAGTACGAGTACGAGTACAGGAGACCAGTATCGGGCCCGATACCGATACCAGTATCGGTATCGGTGCATCCCTAAGCTCCAGTCACCACTGAGTTTTGAACTGAAGCACAATTATCAGATATGATATCAGATATCAAATAATATGATGTGAAGTGTGTGAGAGTGTGATTTGTAGACGCTCCCTCGGCGACAGTATGGCGCGTCTGACTGCATGTGAACATCAGAACGCAGCACACAATCTGATCTGATCTGAGCTGAGCTCTGCAGCGGAGAGCAAACACACACAGGTCAGGATGGAGCACACGCCCGAGACACACAGCAAAGAAGTGGACATTTATCGGGACACATGGGTGAGATTTCTAGGTGAGTCAAAGACACTCGAGTGACCTCCAGGAGTGTGTGTGTGTGTGTGTGTGTGTGTGTGAGTGTGAGTGTGAGATGTATGTGTGTGTGTGTGTGTGTGTGTGTGTGTGAGAGAGTGATCTGGTCTCTCTTTGATTTGAGCTCTTCAGTGATTATTTCAGATTCAGCAGTTGTGGGTCATGAATGTCACACTGACCTGCTGCTGATTGTCGCTGTACTGTCATTATCACAGCTTATTCATGCTCATAATACAGGATTTAAAGAGTTGATGTCTTCTGGGCTTCACACACACACTCACTCACTCACTCACTCACTCACTCACTCACTCACACACA